CTTGGACCCTCGTTCCCTCCCCACTGGGGTGTAACGCTGTCTCGCTTTATCTGTGGCTGGGTGGCTGGCAGGGGCCCCCGTTAATCCTCTGACCTTTCCCTCCATCCCTCATTAGACAGCTCTGACTTGCTGGCCAACCTCAGTTCAAGAGCCCGCACTCTGTGGGGTGGGGGGAACTCAGAGTCATCCCAGGACTCCCCCAGCCTGAACGACCATGGCAGGCAGCGCGCCCATGAGTATCAGAGGTTGGTCTGCTCTGCCCTCCCTGGCAGGTATTCGTAGCAGTTGACATCCTAGTGGGAGAAGAGCCAGAGGCAGGTGGACACGTGGAAGTCGGCCACTGGGGCTTGGAGCAAATGCATCGAACTGCTTGCGATGAGTTTTGGGGCCTGCAGCGCTTTGGCTCCTAGTGACCCGTGTCCAGTTGCGCTTTGGCAGGGGGCTTCCGTTTGCCCTTACAGACTTCTTCATCCGGACATGGCTGCATCCCCCTGGCTGTGCTCTAGGCTTTTCCTTGTGGGACTCATTTCTTTGGGGCTCTAGAAACTTCAGTGAGCAGCGGTTGTCCCCCTCATGCCTGGGACAGCAAACCCCGATGAGCGGCGCCTGGGTTGTATTTCTTAGAGGCGATATATGTATTATTTTCTGAAGCCTTTCTGTTTTCATGGAAAGGGCGGGCTGCTTTCCTTTGCCCCCCCACCCCCCCCATTTTATTTCTTCCTTCTTCCCTTTCCTCTCCATTCCTTCTCTTTGGCTTCTGGAAAGTGTTAATTATTCTCCATCTCCTGCCCCTTTGTGCAGCCCTTCCAGAGTGGGTGGAAATGGCTGCGTTTGTTCTGAACCAGACACTTGCTCTGAGCCATTAATGATAATAATAATTAATAATAATTCTGTCACAAGAAGACAGAAATCTCAAGTTCGGTGGTCCTGGGTGGTGGTGCCTGGTGCCTCCCAGCAGCCCCCTCCCTGCTTTCAGGACCATGCTGGATTTTGGAGGGGTGGGTGGGGATGGGGGAGAGGGGCCGGAGGAGGGCTGGGGGGAGGGGGTGGTGCTGAAGAAAATCAAGACTTGTACGTTGAGAAGGAGCCTCATGTCTGGCACCTTAACAGTTTGGTGACACAGCAATGCAGGAGCCCAACCGAAACTGCCAGACCCTTCCCCCACTGACGGGTGGCTGAGCCGGCTCTCAGGGCTGCGATGGAGAGTCAAGAGCCGCTTGCATTAGTCAAATGTCTGCTCTGGAAGGGATCATGCTCTCACCTTGCTGTCCTCGCCAGGGCCAGCAAGGATCAAGTGGGGGGCATGAATGCAAAAGCTTTGCAGAAGATTACAAAAGAACAGAAAAGCCCCAGAAATGTAAGGCAGTGATAACAAGTAAAGAGGGCTGTTTTGCCATCAGCAAAGCAAGAGGAAGATGTAGAGAAGGAATTTCTCCCCAGGGTCTTGGTCACTGGCAGACAGACCAAGGCTGTGTTCAAGGTAGCGCCCCCTCCACCTGCAGTCTGTGGGCTCGGGGAGCAGCCGGGGCTCCAGGGAGCGAGGGGTGAGGTCAACTCTGCAGGTCACCCCTGCAGGTGCTTCCTGACTTTTCCCCCACCTCCATGGGCATTATGATCAAGCCAACAAAGCAGCATTGGCATCTCCCCTGGGAGCCATTCCTTGAAATTCTGAGGGATGTATTTCTATTTCTGTTGTCCTCATCAGCGGTTGAGTGGGGAGGGTGGGGGACGTTGAGAATCCCAGAAGGGAATGTGGAAGGAGTGCTGGGAAGCCGGCCGTGTCTGGGCTCAGAGACATGTAGGGAGCGTTGCCAGGCATGGCGTGCAGAAGCAGTGCTGGGCTTCACCCTGTGGGTGCGCCCTGCATCTTTCTTGCTGCCTGGTGGCCCCAGGCGGGGTATGGGGCGGGGCGCATGGGAGGGGGCCAGGCTAGGTGGGATGTGCTGGGTCCTTGTCTAGCTTTTAGAAGGACAGCTTCTAAGTGAGTTGGAGGTGGGATAAAATGGTGAAAGGAGATGGTGGGGCAGGGGGATGCTTGCCTCTTGGGCCTTGCCGGAAACACGGTCTTCAGAAATCATTGTGGCTTCTTCCCTGACATCCAGGTCTTTGCTCAAACGCCACGGTCTCAGAGAGGCCTCCCTCAGCATCTTACCTGGAGGGGAGTGCTCCATCCTTAACATTTCCCAGCCAGCTAGCACACCTGTCAGGTGCTGGAACAAAGCCTCGCCCGACACCGAAACCCAGGGTGCATCCTGCTCTGCTGACTGGGACTCCCGTGTCTTCTTGCGTTATCACTTCCTGGCACTCTGTTCTGCATTTATTGTTACTTTGTTGTCTGTCTCTGGAAGGAGAACTCAAGATTCATGAGGACAGGGGACTTGGCTAACTTTGTGTTGCCATCACCTGGCACAGCTCTGGGACGCAGTTGCTGCTTCGTAAGAATTTGCCAGATACCCGAAGGCCGGCAGGCTTCCTAGAAAAAGTGGCAAAATTCTTACCTTCACAGTAAAAAGAGGGTCTGTGAGTTTATGAGTTTCCAGCATTACCAACAACATGAGGAGCTTTGGGGCCCTGACCATCCTAAATCGTTCGAAAGCAGTGTTCCTCAGCTTCAGCCTGGTGACATTTGGCTGCATCATTCTTTGGGGGGGGGCAGTTAGGATGTTTAGCAGTTCCCCTGGCTTCTGCCCATTAGATGCCAAGACCATTCCTCTCCCCACTCCCTGCACAAAAAAGTGCCCATTGCCAGTGTCCCCTGGACGGGGGGAGGGGGCAAAATCACACAGGCTGAAAACTACTGTTCTCAGTGAAAACCAGGTCTCTCCAAGCCACACCTTACTAAATGGGCCAAGTGAGCAGCATCGGGCATCTGAATGCTGTGGTGTTTCTGCTGTAATGAAGTGGTCCTCTTTCCATATCCTTTCCTTAGTTATGCATCAGTCACATTATAAAAAAATCACATTATTGGGGCGCCTGGGTGGCTCAGTCGTTAAGCGTCTGCCTTCAGCTCAGGTCGTGGTCCCGGGGTCCTGGGATCGAGCCCCGCATCGGGCTCCCTGCTCAGCGGGAAGCCTGCTTCTCCCTCTCCCACTCCCTCTGCTTGTGTTCCCTCTCTCGCTGTGTCTCTCTCTGTCAAATAAATAAATAAAATCTTTAAAAAAAAATCACATTATGAAGGAAGATGAAGGAAGGAAAGTCAGCCGGCACATTCTTGTGGTGAAACACATCCTTTATTGCTGCAGTAATTCCTCCAATGTCAGTGTGAGGCAGAGAATGAGAAATAATTAAAGCACATAAACAAACAAAGAGCTGTGACTCTGGTCCACGGCGCAGCGCAGACACCAGCTGTCACCCGGGGGTGCCGACAGGGACCTTCTACGGGGGGAGAGACTGGCCCTCTCCAAGTCCCTTCTGTTCTCATGATCCTGTCCATCTGTACTGCCAGCCTCGAGTGTGATATGGTGTGACAGGCCGCCTCTCTCGGTGCTCCTCCAAGGGACGGAGCAGGGGAGATCCTGCAGCCCCTGGCACTCCACAAAGGGACCCGACGACTGGAATGAGGGAAGCTCAAACAGAGCCACGAGGCTTTCCCCCCCACCCCACCTTTAAACAACAAGGTTCAATGAGGTGTCGCTATCCTTATTTAAAGTGCGTTATGGAGGACGTTGCCAATAAAGTGATTAGAACGATATTGATCTATTGGACAAATGGGAAGATATGAGAGGAAGGGCTTATGTTTTCATTTTCAGCGTGTCATCGGAAAGAAATAATGAATTAAAATATCTGAATTATTAGATTCTCTTTCTGCTTCTGATCCACAGTGACATTGGAAAACAAGAAGGCAACTTGTGCATGCTTGTGTGGTGTGTGTGTGTGTGTGTGTGTGTGTGTGTGTGTAAGACACAGCCAGGCATAACTTTGATGAGATTCCTTCATGAAAGCAGCTTTGCCAAGACTTTTAGTAATTGCTTATAAATGGATGCATTTCAATGATCGGATCATCAGTCTTCTCCTCTCCCGTATTAGAGGCACATATTTTAAATGGAAACTTCTGTTTGGAACTATTTTTGCCTGGATTTCAAAAAAATACCTTGGTTTTTTTTTTTTGCCCACCAAGATGATTCTACTCACCTTCCCTTAGCGACTAGCATCAGTGTGTTTGGATGAAGGTGAAGGATGGAAGCCCTTTTGGGGGTGCTTGCCCATATTCCTCATCCCCATCGGGATCCTGTGCATTTGTAAGCCGTCAGCAGGGTTGGGGGGTTTCCACAGATGCCTTTGGAAGAGAAGCTCGGCCCCATTATGGATTCATTTATCTGTTCCTACTGGAATGTAGGCTTCATGAGAAGCTATGACTTTGTTTTGTTCACCAAGGAGCCACAAAGTTGGCGGTCTATAAGTATTAAGTAAACATCGGGGATTGAAATTGAGATTTTGCCTGGTTAGTGTAGAGACAGTCACATTAACTAGCTACAGGGTGACATGGCCGTTTTAAAGTCCGTCTGGACTTAACTCCAAATATGTTGGGTCCCCGTGACTGTCGCTGTTTCCTTCTTTTGAGGTGCTTTTGTTTGGATTGCTTCTCCTTTGGATCTCATGAGAAACGTGAAGGTGGTCAGTTCCTAAAAATGTTGACCTTGTTCCTGTATGCAGCAAGGCTGCCATCTGAGAGAACCTGCCACGTAGCCTTCTTGGGACAGTTCGGGAGTTGAGTCCCTTGTGCCCTTTGCCCTGCGGTGATGAAGCGTGGACTGGGGGCCCCCCTCTTTCCCAATACGTGTTCTTCCCATTTCTAGGATCAGCATCGATCAATCCTCAGATCCCAGGGTTTTTGTCACCCCAAAAGCTCTACAACCAGAAAGCTTGTCGTCTTCCTTGTGAGCCCAGCCCCGGCGCTTTTGGGAGAGACCGGCCGGCTGCCCGGGCGGCTCTGAGCTGGAGGAATCTGGGGAGTGAAGGTGGTGGGGGTGTTACAGTGACGTCACTGCTTCTTGTTTCAGGGTGCCGCAGAAGACCCCCCGACGGCCCTGGCACTGAACTTCGCCCCTGCGTCGATGAAGAAGTCTGACACTGAGGGTCCCAGGCTGCTCTTCCCAGAGAGTGAACTTTCCATCCGGATAGGTAGAGCTGGGCTTATTTCAGGCAAGCTCCCTGCAGACCCTGGGCTGGGTCAGGCAGCCTAGGCTCGGGCCTGGTGGCAGAGGAAGGACAAGGGACAGGCCCGTGTTCTGTCCTGTCCATGCATGTGACTTACCCCACCGTGGCACAGGGCCGTACCGGTGTCTGGCCCCGTGCCTTCCTTCCCTGTTGCTCTCCAAACCACCTGCTTACCACACAGGAGCTCACAGGGCCTTCTCTTTGTCTTCACAGCTGGGCCAGGTGCACCGGGACCCCTCTGGTGGCACTGGGCTGATTTGGGTTACAGCACCTGGCGTTTGTCCCTCCATCTCCTGCTGTCTGATGGACCGTGAATGCTCCTTTGCATCCACATGACCTTCCTCTTTTTGATGCACCTGGGAAACTAGCTGTTTCTCTCATTGATTCAGTTGGGAGCCAGAAAACCCCCAAACACCTTTTCTCTTAAGGTAGAGGGAACACCCTCCCCAAGAGGGAGCACCTCACAGTTGCTAAATGCCGGGGAGGTGCAACCGGGCTGTGGCCCACTGACAAGGAGTGGAGGGTGCACTGGAAGGGGTACATGGTTTTCCAGTCTCTGGGGAAGACTGTCCCTCCTTGTCTCATCATCGCGTGCTCATTCAGGGCATTTGGCTATTTGAAGGGCCAGTTAGCACGAGGAGTGGTAGGTGCCTTTCTTTCCCTTTGAATTGATTGAAGTCCCAGGCTGTGAAATGTATGCCCCCTGCCCTCCCCACTTCTTCCATAGACCACGGACTTGGGGCTAAAACCACGGAAAAGATGCTGAGAATGGGGAGCCTCCTCCCTTGCACAAGGTTCTCTCTTGATGAATCGGGGAGAAAAAGACCGGCTCCTGGTCACTGTCTTCGCATTAGTGATTCAAGGGAGGGGAGTGCTTCACGTTTCTGTGCTGGCATTTGAATTTGATCTTTTCACCACGTGTAGGCTCAGGCGATCTCTAGACCCTCAGGGGGAGTAAATGTGCTGAAGTTACAGCGATGCCCGTTCTCACTGATGTGTGTTCCGACCATGTCCGGGACGAATTATTCGTGCAGAACTCAAGTATCTTCCCCACTTGGGTTGATCCTCACCGCCTCTTACAACTTCCTCGGTGGGACGTTATCAGCAAGTGCAGACTCATCGAATATCAGCTGAGAGGGTTAGCACGAACATCCTGCCCCCTGCCTCCAATCACACGTGCCATTCATACTCGAATCAGAGCGACTTAGGTGTTTTCTGCTGTTCCCCTTCTGTTGGAGAGTCAGGGTCTGGAGGATAGATAGTTCCTCCAGGAAAGCTTGTAGTTTGTCATGCCGAACCATGGGGACACAGAGACAGAAGGCTTTTGTCAGCCCTCACTAGCTATATGATGCTATTCTGCAGACCCTTCTGAAGACCTCATAAAAGTTCTGATTCTGAGCCTTCTCTTGGGTGAAAAAGTTGGCCAGATTTTATTCTATCCTATTTTTTTTTTTTTTTATCTTCGAGGCCACAGTGGGGGGATTCAGAGCCTGTCAATCAAAGAGGGTGAACAGTGGCAGTCCCTTGGATAGACCCTGTCCAGTGGGGCCAGGAGAACATAGAGTCAGTGAGAGTTGGCTCTGCAGGAGAGCCTCCCGGGACTGTTGGATCTCAGCGGTGAGTGGGGGGCTGGGTGGGAGGGAGATGCAGTCCTGTCCTCTGCTGAGGAACACACACCTAGGCCCACCCTGTGACCGGGCTACCCTCGGTCGCCCTTGCTAACTGGTCAGATGTAAGGCGAAGATCCCTTGTGAGAGCACAGAGATGGTTTGCCGAGCCTGAGGGAGCCCAGCCATCTCCAGAAGGGTCGCTCTTCTGCTCACCTGGCCACCCCTGGGCGGGGGCGTCAGGCAGTTGAAGACTCTAAAGCTGATAATGGCTATTTGCTGACTTGCTGCATGCAGATCGAGCCGGATGCATTCTTTGTGCTATCTGGATTTGCCCTTAAGCTGGCTGTAAATGGAGCAAGGAGATCAGTTTAATGGGTATTTAGTGAATAACATCGGCCTTTGAAAAATAATATTGGTGCTGCTGTTAAAATGTTCCATAATTGGTTCGGCGAGAGGAAAAGCCAGGAAAGCCACACTGTGGGAGAGGAGGTTTAGCTGCTCTGAGTGGCGGCGGCAGCCCCACTGGGCTGGGGAAAGCATTTATGAGATACTTTCCTATTTATGTCTTGGTGCCAAATGTTTTACAATATCAACTGTTTTCAAGGCTGGGGATATTTTGGGACTTAGCTAGACCAGAAGTTTATTTTTTTAAACCATCAGTCTCTCTCTCTCTCTCTCCATTCAGCTACTTATTTATCTCTCTCCAACTAGTTTTCTTTTAATTAAAAAAGTAATAACATGGATTAAAAATAGAAAAGTAATTTTTCTGCCAACTTCAAGCCCTTTATGGCCCCAGGCTTCCATCTCAGGCACACACACTGTTTCTAGGTCCTTGTGTGCCCTTTCAGAAATAATATGTTTATACAGTCGTGCTTGGCCCAATGTTACTTACCTTGTGTTTTTCAGTAAAAACACATTTTTGGCCTTTGTTTCCTGGGGTGCTCATAGATTCATCCCGTTCTTGTTACTGGCCATGATCTTACTTAATTAGTCCCCTCTTGATGGAGCTCTAGGTTGTTTCCAGTAATAGGCTTTTATAAAGAATGTGGCAGAGAGCCTTTTTATAGGTACCTCTCAGTGGGCGATTATATTGTTGAGTAAATTCTAGAAATTAGGCCAGAGATTCTATACATCTGGGGGTCCATGAATGGACACCAAAGGGTTCATATGTGGTTTTAGAAGCCAAAGGTCTATAACATCCATCACACTTCAGATGGCTCCATGACCCTGAAGTTCATCTAGATCTTGGGTTTGTTTTGTTTTCTTTTGTTTTGTTTGCCTCAACCTTCTCCATTCAGCTGCCCGGTTAGATTTTTATTTATTTTATTTTTTTTACTAGCACTCCCTCTAGGTTCAAGAAGGGTAGTAAAAAGTGAATCAGTCCATTCTTTTACTAATTGTTAGCCACCCATTTCAGTCTGTTGTTTGTTCTGAGGGAGGATGTTGAAACTCTGCTTCAAGATTGAGGGTTTTTGTTTGTTTATTTTTGTTTTTTCCATTGACCCATTAGCATGGCAGATGGAGAATCGCCTGTAATTCTGTGTATCTGTGGAAGGAACAGGAATAGGCATTATTTTCTGGTAGAGAAAGAGGTGGATTTAATTTGGGGAATTATTTAGTTATGAAGTGGCACCTGTTTATTTTCTGTAAGCCTTTCCAAAGCTTGTCGAGGGAGTAAGTGAATGGGGACTTGAGTCAGGAAAGCATAAGCTATAAGAAACTCTAGTTAGAAACAGATTTTTCCTTAATGTCCTGTTCTTTTACAATAGGAGAACTTGCCGGCAGGAATAATTTTAACTTACAAGGCATGTTTTGCAAAATGAAACCAAGGCAGACCTAGTGTTCAGTGGGTTATAGGTTTGCATGAGTTGCCATCACCAGCCCATTGGCAGCATTTATTTGTTTTTATCTTAGTCTAACATCTCAAATTCCTTCTTGGTTATGCTACTAACTTGATGGGTAGTATCCTCCTATGGAGACTGAACTGATTTGTGGGGAGAGGATTTGCCTCTTCTGACTCAAGGTTCCCACGTGCCTGACCCCCAGATTAGCACCCAGTGGGGCTTGCCCATTCAGAACCAGAATGGAATCCATGTGTTCTCCGATACCTTTGTCCCTCCTCAGGACACCCTCATTTGTCCTCCAGGTATCCTACTGTCCCCTTTTAACCTTGGGCTCTCCCCTGTTTTCCCAGTTAAACATCCTCCCTTAGGCACCTCTGGGAAAAGACTGAATACAACTGAGCACCCAGGCATCCAACAATCCACAGTGTGTTACTCCTGCTCATGCGTTTGCATTTAACTGGGGACAGATTCTCTAGCTGGGTAATGAAACTGCTAGGTGGATTTTCATGCTGGTTGAGCTTTGGAGGATTCTATTTTTCAATAGGTAGGGTACCCGGGGAGGGCACTGTGCAGGGAGAAATCCCCTCTCGGAAGACAGGTGCCTGTTCTCTCTGTAAGCCCATCCACGTGTGTTCAACTCCCAACTGCTACATTTCCTTCGCACTGAAATTCCTTGCAGTAGCCTAATCCTAGGGAGGCAGAGAGGACTTATTTAAACAGCTTCCAAACTCCTGTGACAATCACTTCTTTCTTCTTCCATATCTTCTAACTTTCAGAGTCTTCCTCGAAGGAGATGCTCCTTCTGTCACCAATACTTAGAGTCAAATTTAGTCAACTGAAATCTACCAGGAGTCAGGTAGCTCCTAGAAGAAATTCTGAATGTTTCTTTGTAATCAGGTCTCTAAAATCGCATGTTTAGTATTGTTATGAGATGTTTCTTAGTAACTTTAACTTTTGATCAGCAAGATCTCTAAAGAAGAAAGAATAACTTCACAATTTTTAATGTAAATTTAATGTCTTGGCATGTGGTTTTAGCAATTAGACTCTTTTTTTCCCCTTCTGTAACTGGTTGGTGAGGGGACACTTCAAAGTCTTTTCCTGGCCTAACTGAGAGTTGTCTGGGGCCTGGAAAATATGCAGGTCCTGGCATTGCCCCCTCCTTTTTGGACTGGGGCCTGTAACCTGGGTTTCTTCATTAAAAGGTTGGGAATGAGCTAAGCCTCCCAACCCATGGCAACAGCCCTGGGGCTATTAAAATGCTCCACATCTTAATACAGGGAAATAGGAAAATATTTTGCAGAAGGGCGAAGAGCAAAGTGTTCAATAAAAATAATCACCAGGAGCGCTTTGGCATCGTGGACTTTGAATAAAAGAAGGAAGTCACACCGAAATACCCCCTTGGCCAGGGCTCTGCGTGGGTGGGACGAGCAACCATTTGCACGTCCCAGCTCCTGGAAACATTATTAGGTGCATACATTTTATAGATTCTTGTGCTTCTGGAGAGCATCATATTTCACCTAATATTGAACAC